AAAAATCACCTGTTTAAAAGTACAGTCTACTATCTCAGAAGAGAAAAACAATGATTATCCAACTTCCCTTGTTAAAAAACAAAGCTGAACGAACGAGTTGAGTATGAGTTTGCCCAACAGCTCTACAATCTCCAGTTAACAGTAACTGACGTCATTTGCACAGTTGCTTAAAAAGACTTTCTCATTTTACTTTACATAAGCACCACTTGCAAATAATTGCATCATAAAACCTATTGGCTCATGTTACAGTAAGAAAGTTTCTTTGACACTTTCACATTTTCTTTAACTTTAAATGTGTTCATCCAATAAACATTCTGAAAATAAAACCACTTAGAAAGTCACATACTGCAGAATGGCATAATTTTTGTTGTCCAAATTAGTCCTAAAGTCCTTATTTCAGTACTTTGTCTGTCGGGCACACTCACCCACTCCTTCTGTCGACCGTGTGTGGTGAAGTCGTACACTGGGATCTTCACACTCTTGCCCTGTTTGAGTTTCCTGAGCGTGGTCACTAGAAGTTGGAAGTCGAAAGCTCCTGGATGGTCAAAGTTATAGTCATTACTAGCAGCTAGAGCTTGCTCTTCTGGAGACAGAACCTGGAGACAACAAGGCAGGACATAATCAAAAGAGCTAGAGAAAACAGACATAATGTGGACAAAATACTAAGATTCTACGGCTACATATCTTCTATTGTGATGTGTCTCAATGTGACAGTTAAAAACTGGACTGTGCTATTTTGAAGAAACATAATTTAAATTGGATCACCTAAATTGTGTAATTTGTCAAAACACCCACAGAACACTCATCAGGCAACATCTGTTATTGGTTAAGATGATGAAGGCACAGAGTACACATTTTTCTGTTTGGTTTGTATTGCTCATTTGCATATTGCAGTCTTCTACAATATCAATATTGCACAGGTTAATATTGCAATAATAATTTACAAGCGATTGTGTAGCCATACAAGACAGTAAGTAGAGCACTGTGCAGAAGCCAGAGACCACCTTTAATTTATTCATTTCCAGTCAAAATGGCCATTAAGTAATTTTTGTTAAGACATTTCTGAGAAGATTAGCTATAAGATAAACCACTTGCATATGGAAGGGGAAAGTGAAAGGAAAACAAGTGAAAAAAATAGTTTTCAAAATATGGTTTCTCTATCAGATATGAGAAAATCATGCTCTGCTCTTTCTTCCACTGTGAGAAGATACCTCAACAATATGGATCTGAAAGGATGTGTTACTAAGAAAAGGGAGTAACAAATAAGAAGAAAATTGCAATAGAACACCAAAACTGGACAAAGTCCAGACCTCAACATCAATAAATGTGTTTGGGATTACTTGGATTGTAATAAGCAGGAAACGCAACCAACTTCTAAAACTGAACTTTGGATGTGTGGAAAAACATCCCTGCAGCTGTCTTTGAAAAATTAACAGCAAGTCTCCCAACAAGAATGGAAACTGTAATAAAGGCAAAAGGTGGTCAAACTAAATAACATTTTAAGCTACATGATATTGGTGCCATTTAGTGGCATCTGAGGTCAGATGACATTGTAATATTAAAATGTGTGCAGAAAGAGTTTAATTAAATATTTCACGTCAAACTTGTAAATATGCAAATCCTGAAAGCATTTATCACACAAAGAATAGTCCACACTATTTAACTGGAATAAAGTACAGTGGGTATGTTGTGGGATGTTGTGCAGTGATCCAGAGATAAAGGAGGAAAGCAGATTATGAGGACTTTTCAGATGCACTTGACCGATGGGATTAACTTTACAAAGAGGGAAGGCGTAGGAGAGTGACTAACAGTAGCTCATTCAGAAGAAACACACACACATGCACACACAAACACTCAGCTAACCTTGTAGAAAGAGTCCATGGATAAGAGAACCACCCAAGGAACATCCAGAGCCTCTATGATCTTATTAGCCACTGTGGTCTTTCCTGATGCACTGCCTCCACACAAGCCTATACAAAGGAAAAGCAGTATGAGATGACCATACAGTATGCCTGGCACTGATAGTCTGCAGTACTGGCTACATTATTTGGCATCATTATTTCAAACTTCACCAGAATAATTACACTGAAAGTATTTAGCACAATAAAACAAAAAATCCTTATTAATACAGAACATGTTAGTTCCATCAGTGCTTCTAAATTCAGTCTAGAGTTTTATTTTATTGCCTAGTAGAACTGCATGATACAGACAAAATACAGCAATTAAACCTCTACATAGTGCAATTGAGTTATGCCTTAAAACAATCTGGTGAACCTCCGATGTGACTGGGCAACAAATGGACTTTGCATTATTTTGACCAAAATTATTTACGTTTGTTGGATCAAGTAAATCCATTGTTTGAAAACACTCAGAATCTCATAAAGAGCAACTGAAGTGGTTCATATCGCTGCTGTCAGAAGAAAACCTTGTATCTCCAAAATGGTAACTTTACAGGAGAAGGAAAAAACATACTTTTAATATACGTCAATAGAACCAGAATTTTTTCCAAGTTATTTTAGGCTGTTTCTTTTGGTCCATTAATCATAAAATTTAGACACAATGTAAAGAACAACAGGAACTTTTGAATTATGTCAAAAACTGAGGTTTTCTTCCGACAGCAGCGATATACAGCCTAGTGCTAAAAAAATAATGTGTGATTTGTTAGGGGACTCCTTCTTATATTGTATCCCTCTGCAACATCATTATTGCATAATAACATGATAATAATTGACAGACACTATACTATGCAGCCTGTTATACTGTTACTACACTGTTAGCTAATGCTACCTTAGATTTTGCATACTGGAAATGGAGGCATTTTAGTGCGTAGCCCAGTGTAAACTGAACGTTCTGCTCTTCCGGAGTGTAATAATTTGGTCATCATTTATTGGTTTCAATTATCAATCAGTCCAGTATCAATAATTAATGTGATACCATTATGACATAGCTATCATCACGCATCCCTAGAAAATGATGAATGAATGTTTGCACAATGCTTGGTCAGTACAGCACAGACTCAGACAGACTTTCCTCCCTTTCATACCAATGACGAAGGCTTCTTTGGACTGTGTTCCATGCTCGTTGTACCAGGGTGGCCTGCCGGCAGTGTAGATGGTGCGGGTGCCTGTGCGCAGTAACGGTGGCTCTGTTTTACCCAGAGTGGTGCTCTTCCTGCGGGGGCAGTTGACTGGGGGGAGGAGCCTGTCCAGAGAGTCCTCCCCACTGCCACTACAACACAAACAGCAGCAACAGCCTATTAGTAAGTGGAAAATAGTGAGGTGTATGTTTGAGAGATTATGACAGTAAATAATAATACATTATGGGGATCTGCAAACTGGAATTGTGTAATTGCATGCAGTGTGCAAAAGAGCATTTTGTAACATTGGTTATGCTTCAGACCCCTTCCTCGAGAGGATGAACTTGCTGATGGTAGACACGATGAAAGAGTATTCAAAAAGAACTCAAAATGTGGCAAACAACATGTCTTTCAAGGATGTAAGTGAATTATTTATTATTGCCATCACATTTTCATCAGTATAATGCTGAATTTGCAATTAAGACCCAAACATTAAGCTGGACCTTCATTTTGAGACTGTACATCTGATATTAACATAAAAAAACATGGCATTCTCTGAAAAACCCTGCAAAATACAACCCAGCACCTCTGACGTTTAAATCAACTATTATTTCAGACTTTATAATGTGACTTTACAGGGTGATAAAAAAAAATACATAGTGCAAATTTAAATTATTAGCTACATTTTCATTTCATTGTCCATCATTTTATACTAATGTTATTTATATAAACAAATATGAGTGATTTATTTAAAGGTGAAAAAGATGAAAATACAAGCTGCAAAAATATTTCAACCTAAACCTACATTTACAAAACACAGCCCAGACAAATTACATAAGAGGAGGTGATGTCTGAGTGTGGACTATGACCTTGGGTTGATTGCAACATGTCTTTGTCCTTGTTTACTATTCAAAGCAAATTAAGTTGACAGGTTAGCTTAGAAGGTACAGAGAGGAACAAACACGCAAAGCTATTTTAGTATCAGGTAAAAAAAGCTCGCAAAATAATTTAGTTCACCCTACTTTCAACCTCCACTCCAAGTAATTAAGGCCTTAATCAGCTGAATGGAGCAGCTGGAATCCCAAGGACAGAAATTAATTAAAGCTTTAGAGGTAAATATATGGCATGGTATAAATACGCCATGCCTGAAAATAGATGATCAAACCTTCTAAAAGGTTTGTAACAGAGAGATATAGCACACAGATAATAGCTTCGACTAGCATGCAGCTCAAAGTATGGTAAATAAACAATAAGAGAAATTACTGATAATGCAAAATCGTTTAAATGTTAAATACATTTACAGAATATTGTACAAAACATGGACAAAGTGTGTGTGTGTGTGGGGGGGGGGGTTAAAAGCCATCATCATCTTCATGGAGGAAGGCTACATGCAGGGTGTTGTAACAGTCAATAGTCCTCAAAGCACACTTATTTTTCAAATTTACTATAATTTATCAACATTACATATAAACACTTAGAAGACACTGGAAGGATATAGATTATCTATCATAATCAAATATGCATATTTTAATATATTTTTTACAGTTGGGTTTATAGTTTTTTTGGCCTTTGCGTCACTGTAAGGCTTGTGGCATGTTCTGTGTAAGAACACTGAGACAAGAGATAAGGACTTGTTTATGCCCGTCTCCAATCTATCGTACTAGCCATGGCAGAAGCGCCTTTCCATCATCGTATAATTTGGCGAAACACATCCATTCAGGAACCTTCAAGGCTTTTGGCCTGACTGAGAGCAGACATAATTAGGATGCACGCAAGAAGCACTGTCTGTGTTGACTGAACCTACCCAGTGACACTGTGTTCAGTTTAGTTTCTCAGCAAGTACTACAATATAGCAGTTTTGATTTGAGCTCTCACCCCCACCACTCTCTCTTTTTTCCACTCTCTCTTTTTTCCTCCCTCTCTTATTTCTCCCACTCTCTCTACTCCTAAAGTTTTAGCCTGTTGATTTCTTTCTCTAAACTTTTGCACAAGGTAAGTTTTGTGTGTGAGGTTAAGTGTGTTTGTGTGAACGTAATAACCTGTTGATATTATTTTTCTCCAATTTTATCCATTCTTTTAATTATGTTTCCTTTTTATGTTCCTGTAATTCTGAAAACATTTCCTTATTAAATTTACAATCTATTCAACATTTGAAATTTAACGTGAGGTCTTCTTGTTTCTTGCCTTCTAGTTTTTCGGGTATATCGCATCACAGAAATGATGAATGGGTGTTTTTCATACAGTTTCCCAAAAACACATATTCTAGTTATTTTGAATAGTAATTAAAATGTCTACAGTTACCTTATAGACATCACAACCCCGGTTCCTATCACCACCATTGTAAACAAATCAGTAATTTTCTCCACAATTTCATATCAAACCACTCTGAATGAGTTTACATCTCAACGACTGAATTATGCCGAAATGTTGAAAAATTGGTGGGATTCCCCTTTAATGACACAACCCTTAGTCAAGAACCAATGCATGGTGACATTTCTGTCACATTTCTGTTTGCACCTGTGTTTTGCCGAAATCTTGTCAAAGAGCTGCAGTAACTAAGCACTGTTAAAAAAACTGTTCAACAATTACAAATTCTGGCACAACACAAAACTAACCTCACTGTTCAGAAAATACGTAGCTCTTGAGGAAGTAAGAGTCACAAGGCACCAAATCTCAAAGTACTACAGATTTTCTAAACAACATTTAATGCCTAAAATTAAAAGCAGTGAACAACCACCTTGATTTTGGTATAGAAAAGCCCAGTAAGAATCATCACTTACCCTCCACCTGACTGCAGAGCCCAACAGCCTGATATTCTGGCTCCGGTGTAGCCAGGCAGGGTGGTCATAGCTGCCCCCGATAACGACTGCTGACTGTCCTCACTATCAGTAACGCAGGTAATGCAGTGGAGTCTCGGTTAGCTAAAAGGCCTAAACGTCTACAGTAGGAGATCTGGAATGATAGTCTGTGTAAAATTCTGTCATAGTGCGGCTCGAAATAAAAAAAAGAAATAAACTGCTGTGAGTTCTGTAAACTAAACTGAAGGACTTTTCATTCTCCGCCATGTTCTTTTAGTCATGTCTGACTGACAGTGAACTGCCTCTGCTCTCAACTTCTGCTAACTCTAACTTCCAGACCTTCAAGGACACAAACACCACTCTCGCATAATCTGTCTCACTCTCTTAGCGCTCAGTTTAAGAGGATCACCTCCAAAGGTGACGCGTGCTCAGAGACTATTAATAGAGCTTGCAGCCAGCAAGGGACCAACCCCCTACCGTTGATCCAAGAGAGAGGGAGAGAGAGAGAGAAAGAGAGAGAAAGCGCAGAAGTGTCACTATACGCATCACTGTTCCAGCAGGTCACCAATGACGACAATGAAGCAACTGCAAGACACTGACCATGCAATGTTTACTTAAAGAATATGGCAATAATTTCAGCCTAAAAAAACAAAGAGTACATTTCAAGTTCATTTCTAAACTGAACAAACTTTAACAATAATTTCATAATTTCAGGACTAAACTAAATGATTAATCAAGTATTCTCCAAAAGATAGCTCACTGAACACACTACGAAGTCAATGTGTCACTCTTGTTATGAATGGGATTAAAAGGTGGGGTTGACAGATATAAATATCTGCAGCCTGCAACTGTACTGAGAATCCTTGAAATAATAATTACACCACGCCTACAAAATAAATGTTATTTTAGTAAACTAGCTACACAATATCTGATGTATTTACCCCTATTAAATACACAGTTTGTCAGATATTTAAGCCCATACAGAAATCTGATATATGACAAAGTATAGGTTTTAAACATATTAAATATATTATCATACATGGATTTCTGTTATATCCATCTTATTTTTGCCACATATGGATATACATACATTCAAATATAAGATATATATTTCAGCCATATATCAACATATGTAAGCATATATATAGACCTATAACATACGTTTAACCTTACTTGACAGAAATCATTATACATATGTGGAAGGCCCATATTACACATATATGCTAGCAATATGTTATATAACATAAGGTTTTAAGCTTTTTCCTTGTTTCTTCCACATATGTCCTAATGAAGTGAACATGTGTACTCTAGCTATGACTCAACCCTAAATACATGTTCATTATAAGCTATGCAGTAAAAGCATTAACACTATTTTAGTAAAAATATTGTTCCATGACACATTTAAACAAATTATATACATATATATATATATATATATATATATATATATATATATATATATATATATGCACATATGTTTAAATATGTGCATGCCTCTTTAAGATACATGTCCATATAACCTATGCCCATCAGATCTCCGTGTGAGAGCTAACGGCACTGAGCGACCAGCAGATGCCGAACACTGAGCTTGAAGTGGCAGCAGCGTTAGTTAGAGCTGGAGGACGGAGAACTCGCCATACTGTCACCACTGTTTCTTATTATTAGTTCACATTATTTAGAGTACAGATGGTTAACACGGGTTAATTAGTACCTGTCCGAACGGACTGAACTTTTCTTCCCGTTCTCCATCTCCCGAACACAGCATTCTCCTCACAGCCCGGAGACCGCCATGAAATCCGTCCGTCAGTCAGCTGGTACGGTTAAAACCGTTAACGGAAAGCATTATGGGAATTGTAGGACGCGTACGTAGCGCTTACTGTACACGTTCTATTTTAATTTTCATTCAAGCGCTTAGTTCGTTCAGGAATACAAAAACAGATGTATTATATATTCTGAAATTACAGAATAACATAAAAATCGTGGTCCTTAAATAAATGTTCCGATACTTCCGATGAGATTTGATTTTAATATCATTATTACAGATAGGCGAATCATATGAAACGGCTTTGTGGTATTTTAGGGGAAGGATATGCATGTAGGACAGGCTTCGCTTATACTTTGCAAAATATGTGATTTTATAAGAGCCCAGCAGAGGGCAGGGTAAAACAGGAGCTGAATTTCATGCAGTACCCTCTGTCGTGGGACTCTGTGTAGCCTACTTTTTGTAGTATTTGTCTTTCCTGCTTTAATATAATTCTTTCAGCTCACCAGCTAGTCACCAATGAGCTAAACCAGATCTGGCAGAGAAGGAAAAACACAACTATGATTAAGAACCCTTAACAAAGGCCTATAAATGTTCGTATGGACAATACAACTTACAACGGATGACCAGCTCTGCTCCTGAAGATACAGTCCCAACCCTGATCTAACACACCTGATTCACATGTGAACATTAAAGGACAGCGTGTTCAGTTAGGACTGGAACTAAAACATCTAGGAGAATGCAGATCTCCAGATGCAAAGGACAGTTTTTATAAAAAATATATATATACAGGGTCCAAAAATAAGAATAAAAAAAGACCACCCTGAAAATATGGGATTTTTCATTTAGACCTGCAAATAAACAGAACGTTTTAGAAATTTTTAAAACAAAGAAAATTGATATCAAGTAAAATGAAGAAGAAATATTTGTGATTCTGCACTATTTCTAGGTCACCATTCAAATTTAAGCAAATTTTTGACACTGACCATGTTAGGGTCTTTGTAGAAAAAGGTCAGATTTTGGGGGGGCTTTTAGTCTTATTCCTTTCATTCATTTCATGTGCTCAGACGACTCTCGGGTGAGTCTGATCTCCTCATTATTGCACAAATATGTGGAGCTCATGGGCACACTGTCATTAAAGCATAAGAGGGACATTTCAAATACTACAAAATCTGTAAATTCATGCTAAAATTGCGAATATTCCACTTTTACACTCAAACTGCTATGGCAATAATATAATTTGTAATGAAAACTATGTACAAAATTAGAAAGTAATATAAAATAGGAGCATTTTCACAAGACATCTCAGACTTTTGGACCTCACAGTATTTCTCTTAAGAAAGAGAATTCTCTTGGTCTCAAAGCTCAAAAGCTCAGTAGTTTTATCCTTCGGAAAGAATCAAATTTGCAGTTATGTTACTTCGATGGGCCACAAAACATGACACATAAATTATGAATTCAGTGTGAAAAGTAAGCTTCACAACAGTATCCTGCTCTGGAATTTATACAGAATACTCTACTAGTAATGATCATTTCCAAATAACCCAAACAATTTGCTCCTGTGAATCTCAGATCAAGGACTAGCAGTGAGGTAGTGTTAGCACATATTGCAACTGCTGTACTTGGGTACACTCTTAAAAAAGATGGTTCTTCAAGGGTTCTTTATTAAAGACAATAGTTCTATATAGAACCAGGAACACCCAAAAAAACCATCTGCATGCTTAAATGGTTCTTTGCATGGTTCTTCAGATTGATGGAGAATGTGTTGTATGGTTCTATATGGCGCCAAAAGGGTTCTGCTATTTTCACTATGTCAAGCTTGTAATAAGCGTACAGATGGTTCTTTGAGTGTTTATGGTTCTATATAGAACTACTGTCTTTACTAAAAAACCCTTGAGGAACCATATTTTTTTAACCCCTTAAATGACCAGCACCCACCAACAGACCCAATTATGTATAACCTAAGAATAGCTCAGCCAGTTTTTACTAAGGTCCCTGTAGTTACTAAATTATAAGCCTTAGTATGTCTTACTTAGTAGCCTGAGATTTTAGGGGGTTGAGAGTGCATCATAACCCCACTCATGCTCATCAATCAGCTACTATGCAACAACAACAGACCTGAATTAAACAAGAATAAAACCAAATGAAACCATCAATCGAATATGGTATAAATTTCTGTCTACCATTTAATAATAATGTACTTTATTTACATTTTAAAAATGTCACATGAAAGAAATGAATATGCACATTGCAAAACAAAGTAAGTAGGAATTGGGACAAGTGTCCTTATGGTGAACAGTCTTGTGGAAGTCAGGAAAAGATGGTTTCTGGCATGAGAAATGCAATGTGTTGAGAAAGATTTAGATGTTTGTCACTTTTCATCATTACATAACACTTTTTGACATTTTCTTCTTACATTTTCTTACAAGAAACATTTACTTGTATTGACAGACATTATACAATGTGAGTTTTATTGATCTAGTTTCCACTGTTCCTTTGCTTTACTTCACTGTTTTCAAAGGTACTTAAAAGGAAATATATGTTTAAAAAGCCATTATGCAGCAGTGAATGTTCAGTATGCACTTAGAGAATGTTCCCTTTTTGTAATGTGGAATTCCTGTAATGTTCTAATGTCCCCAGGTAAAGCGGAGCATGTCAAGAAGGTGAAGAATGTCTGTAGTAACACCCTGTATTGTGTGTAGCCAAGCTTAAGGAGATTTCTTTTCTTTCATCTTATTCACACAGGCCTTCTAAAACCAAGCTCTAATCTGATTTAGTGACTTTGAACAGTGTGATTCCTGATGAGCTGCACTGCCTTTTTTCCATTATACCATAAGACAGTATCAACTTGACATTTTGTGGTCGGATGTGGTGTCTTTGAAAGGCAAGTCTGGGCTCGTGCTTCATTTTTGGGCAATTGTGCTGTAGCATGTCATCTGCCTCCCGACTGACATTTGTCTCTCTCAGGATTATTACAGTGAGTTATTGTGTGAAGTGTCAAAACACACAGAGACACAGTCCTTTGTAGAAAGAAAGAGTACTTGTTGACGTGGCAAGGAAAAGAACAGTTATTATTTCTTAAAAGGGAACCAGCATGAACTGGCTAGAAGGAAAACATCTGCTTTCCAGCGCTGAGTTCTGTAGCCTCACAGTCACAGAGAGACTACATATACATTATAGAATAGGGCACAACACAGAGAGCAGGGGGAGATTCAGGTTAGAGTGTTTGTTATTCTCCCAGCTGTTACAGACTCGTTGTTTTCTTCTTGGCTGTGGTTTGAGATGGAGATGGAGGTCCAGCTAGCACAGCTGAAAGCAGGTGCCGGTGCCTCAGCGGCTT